TAGTTGGAGTGGGCAGAGGAAGAATTGGGATTGAAGGTCAAGGTCAAAGCTAGTTTATACAAAATGTTGCAAACACATTAATTTTATACTTGAAATAAAGGCAGTATGAGAGTAGCGGAAAAAGTCAATTAATTTTTGGAGGTAAAAATCAAGATTGCTGAAAATAATGCAGCTGTAAATGTCTTAACAGATATGATTTATGTTTTGATAAATGGTAAAGTTTGAATGATGCCACCTTATGCTTGGGTTTATCTGTTTTGCTATATACCTTTTTAAAAAGTTATTTTTCTTTTAAATAAACAAAATGATTCCAACAGTAGTACTGTATTTCATGAAGTTCAACCATAGCAAATTTCAAGTTAAAAAAAATTTAAGATTTAAAAAAAGAAAATTTAAAAAATAATATTGACAGCCTTTTAAGAAAATTTGAGAGAAATGAAATGGACAATTTTATAAAGGGACATTGTCCTGTATGATTTTTTCCACTCCCAACTGTAGCAGCCATTTGCTCTTTCTAGTTGATTGATAGTGATTAGAAAGCCAGTTTTTGTTTAATAGCATTATAAAAGATAGGCATCTGGTCTGTCTCGGAGTTGCACTGACTTGTGCTTTTTTATTAAATCCACATGTTTTACACTAAACTTTTTAAACAGTCAAACACTTCTGCCAAAAGCTTCAAATATTTTTTTTACCCCCTTGAAATAAATGTGTAATAGTGCATGCGCATGTTTTCCATTCATAATTATCCTTTATCAATTTTGGTAAATTGTATATTCTATTTAGCTTTTTTAAGAGTTAGAACATGCAGTCTTTTCACTAATGTGTTTAATATTACAAATGTAAACTACTGTCTAACTATGTATTTTGATACATATCTATAGGATCGATATCTTTAATTCCTTTAAAATGTCAGACTACCCCCCCCCCCCCCCCCCAAAAAAAAAAAAAACAAAAAACAAAAAAAGAAACATTCAGACAATTTTGAAATTTCAAATATTTAGATCTTGAAATTTACAGAACTTTTCTGTAAACATCTAATAACAATTAATTGAAAGACTTACTCAATGGGATTGAGAACAAATTTTATTCAATATGATGGGGATACTCTATAATCCAGATGGATCTTAAAATGTCCAAGTAATCTCTCAAAGATGAGTGAATGAAATTTTCTTTCACACTTTTCCTCTACATCTTGTTTATAGTAATCTGTAGTTTTGCGGATGATAAAAGCACCTGCTTGCTAATGTAGGTCAAGGCAAGGTCAGGTCTTGAGTTACAAAGAGTGTTTGCCTCCTTATTTTTTGTTTAATATAAAAAACGAAGGCCCTGTAATTTCTCTCTCTCCTCCCCAGGAACCTCCGAAATGTGTTGTATGGCAGCTTATTACAGTCCCTCGGGGTCCTTCCATAAATCAGACTGTCTCCACAATGGCCACGTTGTTGTCTTTTTCCCATCCGTCATAGTGTTTTTTGTTGCTGAAGCAATGCCGACTGCGTCACAATCTAGGGCACACTGCACCCTCAGATGTAAATGTTTTTGTATGTCAGAATATAATATTAGTAACTTAATCTACTTCATCCCCATTTAAACTGAGACTTTCTTGTTAATGTGTATGAGCTCACCTTACACCATTTAGCTAATGGCAGACTGACAAAAAACCCTGTTGGAGCCCCAGCCATATGGTTCCCACCAATTTTTCATTCATAAAACCCAGAAATATGAATCCAGAGACTTGCCAAGGCAGATGAAAATTTAGATATCTCCTCAGAAGTTGGTTTATATAAAAAGCACACTTATCAAGATGTGGAGTGTGTGTATGTGTGCAATTTAATTTAGCAAGTGGGATTGCTCTGGGGAACCGCCACTGCCTGTAAACTTTATATATAGCCCACATTAGCTTACTTGTTGAAAAACTATAAGCACAACTCCATGTCTGTAATGAAATCCTAATTTATACACAGTCCTGAAATAAGCAGAAACATGATTATTCTTGAAGGCTTTCCAATGAAGTTGAGGAAGATTTGGAGGGAAATTAATTGATTTTATGTAAAACACCAATGTAAAGTTGAGCCCCAAAGACAGAAAGTCGGAATAAAGAGGAAGTTTTCACCTTGCTAAATTGCAGTAGTGGTAGTTTGTAATTGTTCTGAAATATATGGCAGGTCCTAGAGGGTGAAGTTCTGCTCTGACACAAAGGAAACGAGGGATGAGGCCAGTCACATGACTCCAACCAATGTCAGCTTACCAAGTTTTGACTTGGTACTAGAAGCTTTCCCATGGAAGAGAAATTAAATTGAAATTTTTGAACAAAGTTTGAAGTACTTCGATTATAAAGTGCCTCTACAGCAGAGCGATTGTCACAAGAGGTTCTAACGTTTTTTCCCATGCTCCATAAAGTTACAGCTCGTGCAGTATGACCAATTTTATAATTAAATGGAAGTCTGTATCTTTTGAGAGCTAGTCTAATGCTTCTCCTCATGCAGTAACCAAGAGGATTGTCAGAGGTGCAATGGTTTATTGTATAGATTTGATTTTTGGAGTTTTTGTACCTATAGTTTCATCATTTATTAAAGACATGTTGCCCTTTCCTTAATTAATTGTCACATACTTATTTACTATCATTATTGAAACATTAGCAAACACAGGTGTACCCTGGGTAAAAGTAGACTAAAATTGCAATGAAATTCACACAAATTATTTCATAATTATAAAATTTATGCAAAACAGGAACACTTAATTGGTCCACATCCATACTGAAGTGACTCTCATAGTCTGAAGTGGAGACTCTCTGCTTGATGTGGAAAACAATATTGACTAATAGTCCACAAGTACTAATAAATATAAAACACGCTTGTTGCTGCAATTCATATACAGTATTACTGTAACTGTATTGGGTTAATAACAGCATATTAGAAAATATAAAAATTTCTTAAAATAATCAACATTTTCAATCATGGATTGGTCTAAAATACTGCGTTAAATGTTGATTAAAGTCCGCAATTTCTGTATCAAAATATACAATTTTTATTTGCATTAGATTGATAAACATCAGTGTTTGCAGGTTAATATTTCAATAAAATGATCACTTGGACATCAACATTTGCTTTGATCTTCATGACTCTGTAATCTAGTTGTGTTAGTAACTGTTTTTGATCAACAAAGCACTTAATCAGGGTTTCTATAAACTTCCAATGATTAATGGAGATTCAACATTTTTTTATCTGTAGTTTTATTTTCATTTGTTTTCAAAAAAAAAAATTCTTAGATCATGAGGGAAAAAAACCCTTAAATTCAAAACCACAGTGCTATTTAAAGCATAATAATGCTTTTAGTATTAAAAGAACATGATTTTGTGGTTTCTGATAGGTCCACTGGACCTGTTCATGGTTAGGATCGAAATGAAGATGGTTTCTAGATTTACATAACAGGCATAAATGCTTAAAATATAAAGTAGTTAATTAATTGATTATATCTTTGAAAAGTGCAAAGTGTGCAAGTAATAATGGTGGTGGTGGTGGTGGTGGTTGGGGGAGGGGTCTTCAGTTGAAAATTATGTTTAATAGCCATTTAGTGCTAATCATGAAGACAATACACTAGTTAGGAGAAAGGTAGATTTACTTAAAATAATGAGTTTCAGATTATTTGTCCAATATTCTAAACAGCAAATATTTTCATGGAACCTATTCTAATGTTAGGTATGATTTTCCTTGCTAAAACTTTAAATTGATAATCTATCATAGTGATACAAGCACTGTGACTTTCTGCATGTCCCATTCATCATGATACTTCATGCCAGTATTTAACAGGCATTGATTGATTTTTGGGGGGAGATTTTTACACAAGTGCCACCACCCTCCCCATGTCTCTCTCTACACCACTGAATTAGAATTTATGGGTTGACATAGTTGCCTCTTTGTATATATCTCTATTATGAATGCTCTCTCTTCTCCATAGGCTATATGTCAAGGTTCAATTTTCTGCTGCTCAGAACAAAGGGTCGTCATATTTCCTAAAGGGGGAGTATTACATATTCCAGGCCAAGGCACTAATCAATTATCACACCTGAAATGGTTTTTGTCTGAAAATTGTGAAAAATATCATCTTTTCATTTATTTTATGTCTCGGAGGCCTAATTGAATGTTTTTTTAGTTTTAGCTATAGATTATTGACTTGATAAGGTTATAACTACAGAATTGAATAAATATATTTGTAGATAGTGGTTTTGCGCTTTGTACAAGGTGTTAACAAGCTTTGATGTGATTTTGAAATGATAAACTTTTACAGGTTTAATTTGTGTATACAAGCAATTTATAAAGGATGAAAAAAATATAGTCTTCACGTAAGTAGTAATCAGGAAATCTTTACACTGAGCAAAAAAATGAACTGTGAAATTTTAGAGTTAAGTTGTTTTTCAACATTTTCTATTTTCTGTATTCATTTGCTGGGAGTTACCATTCATGTGGTTTAATTTTACAAGTTCACTCCAAGGATAAAACGGTAATGTAATCTGTGGCCACTATAAATATCTTTTTGTTATATTATTTCAAGCTACAGGTCTCTGTTTTCTCTTCCTTATTTTAGATAATGTTCTTATACAAACAGATGATTCATTCAGTGTTTTGTGGTCAAAAAGTTGTAATTGTGAATTACAAAAAAAGTCTTTTAAAAAGTCCAAAGATCACCAGGTCTCTTTACAGAAGTGCTTAAAAAAGGAGAAAAAGAAAAGAAATGCTGAATGTAAATGAACCTTGGGACTATGAATGAATTTAAATTGAAAATTGACTCTGTTAAAAAAAAAATTAAATTGGGTCAGTAACGCTTCAAATTATATGTTGGCAGGCAAATCTTGATAAGAGGCCTTCATTCATAAAATCTGTACGCTTTACTATATAGGAGGGGCTCAAAAAGGCATTATGTAAATGAGCTTGAATTTGATTGGTGCAGGTGATTTATGGGACACTTGCCAGCAGAGAAGTTTCATTCATAAAATTAGCTATAGTGGTTAGCCTGGTGTAAAGTTTTCCCAGGGGTTATTTTATCAATTGAGAAACTAGAACAGTTACCAAGTCATCCATGCAGCAAGCAAATGTGTAAATTGGAAATTAGAATGGAGGCAGAAAGCTTGGTTCTACAATAGCATTAGTTTGCTTAACATGGGTAAAGCATTGTGAGAAACATCCAGTGCTCCGTTGAGTTTCTTCTGGTCATTCAGGTGTGGGTTTACTTTGTGAAGGAACATTGATAATCCTGAAAGGTGTATAATTACATTTGTCAAAGAAAATTCTGTTGCCTCGATAACCATGTGATATAAGGAAGGTGTTGATGTTTGAATAAGAAGAAACAGTAGAAAGATTAGGAAAGTTGTGAGGACCCTTTCTGTTGGAGCACACCTCATCAAGACCTAATCACTTCCATTGTACCAAAGGTGTGGAAGATTTTAGTCCAAGGCTCAGTTGATGTCAGAATTTTTTTTTTTTTTTTTTTTTTTTTGGAACTGCAAAGATTTGCATCTTGAAGATTTTTGTGTGTTTGTGCATCTAAAAGATTGCTTGAATATAGTTTCTGTGAGTGACTTTGAACTTGGAATATCAGCAGCTTCTGCTCTTGCGATAAATCCCATATGCTGTATCATGCAGACTCTTTTACATAAACCATCTCGCATGGCATGGCAAGACTTCTACATTAATTGCTCACATTTGATGTGGATCAAAGTTTGTTAAGTACTCCAGGCCTAAGCATCAATCAGTCAAAAATCATTTTCCATTCATCACTGCTAAATATATTACTTCAAAAAAAAAAAATACAGTCAAAGGTGCTGCTGTACTGAAAAAAATGATAAAGGAAAAATTAGAGAACGAGATGCTGTGCCCCCATAAGATGCAAACCAAGACTAAGAACAAGGGCATCTTTCTCCTGCCCTCTTGGCACACTAATGGTCGCCAAAGCAACGAATCTGTGAAAAATGGTAAGAATATGCAACAGTAGCTTTTGATGTTTATCAATTTTTAGTGGCATATCATTTTGCAAAGATTAATGTTTTATTAATGGCATACTGACATCTTTTGAATACCATATAGATGTTTTATTTTAAAAAAAAATATAAAGCAATACAGAGAGTTTTTTGTTCCCAGTATTAATCATCCATCCACATTACTTTAATAATACATCACCATGTCAATTTTTATTAATATTTTATGACCCCAGGTTTATGCCTTGTCAAGAAATATGACTGTGTAAAGTTTGAAAACTTCAGAACTGGGGGGACGCTTGTGTAGCACTTAGTGTGCTGCACATAGCCATCACGAGATGTCAAAAGATTAGTTTTGAATTACATTTTTATAGGTTAGGACACTGTAGAATGTCTATCATAACTGCTCAAAGCAATAAGGATTTATCGCCAATAATAAAAATTTGCTAAACACAATTTCTTTTTTGTTAAAAGAGAAACCATGGTGTCAAATGGGGGTCAAATAAAAAAAGGATTTCATTCATTTCAAGATGTTTTTTCATGTATGCTCTCAAATCAAGAGTAAAATAACAAGTAACGAACAGGGCCATAAAATTGAGAGAGTTGTCTGAAACAGGTACAAACTCAAAAATCCCTCAACAAATGACAGCCTATGCAGCTGTTGTGTAGTGGGGAAAAAAAAAATTGTTAGATCAGCTTCTGACCTCTACTTTTCAGATTTCTTTAAATGTAATGGGTTCCAGTTAAATGACCAATCATATAGAGATCAGAGAACCATGTGACTATAAGAATTATTACATTTTGTTAATTTGAATAAATTTCGATCTGAAATGATTGAAGAGAGCATGGTTTTATTTTAAAGTCAGTATACTTCCTTATAAAGTTAAAGGTCACAGTTTGGAAATATCAGGGGATTTATTTATTGCTAAATACCCTGACAACCAGGTGTAAGGTGAAGAATTACTGATATCAAATCCTTAAACACACAAAACAAATATTTCCAAGTGCAATTCAGAGTTACCTCTCATGGCAAGGGCATTATCTCCCTTTGGGTCTTTTTTCTTTCCTTCTTTCTTTCTTTTTTTTTTTAATTGAATTAGAAAGGCTTGGCTTTTGTTTTTTTCTATTTTAAGTAAAGGGGAAAAAAGAGTTCAAGTACTAATTTTCTTTGTTAAAACATGACTGAGACTTTATATATGCATGGACTTCCAACGAGCATGATTGAAATAGTAGATTTTTTTTAATAATTGTGCAACTTGAATCATTCTGCCCTCATTAAAAGTGGAGTGCCATTCATTACTGTACAATTTCATACAACTCTAAATTTTATTTTCTTGGAGGCTGAAGTGTTCTATCCTGTATTTTGTCATACTTGTCAAGTGGCTTTAAGGATGTCATAACTTAATTCAGTGATATCAGATGTATTGTACTGGTTGAATTCTTTTAAGTAGTTAGTTTTAAGTGTATACAGTGGTTTTTAGTATGGGCAAGTATCTATAAGGATTGATTCTCATAAATATATCATTTGAATGATGTTTTAAATTAAACAATAGTCTAATAATTAAAAAAAAAAGGAAAATTAAATTGAAATGATGTTATGTAACATTTAAGTCTAAAAAGCTTTGAAAATTGGTTTTCAATATGATCATCAATTAAAATGATGACAGTTCGCATTTGTTGGGTAACATACCTATTATGCAAATTTGATATCTCATTAATTAATTAAAATCTTGTGGTAATTGTAATATTGCTGCATAAAATACAAGTTACAATCAAAATCTCTTCATATAATGACATTCTGTAGCAATTAAGTTCAAAATAATATTAAAATGATTTCCCAGGTTGGACTAAATTTTCGAATCCCCCAAAGAGCAACCCAAGAGAGTCACAATATACCCTGCATAATGTAAGCTCATTTGAGAGAAAACGTGTCACCAGTTAGACACTTTAATGAATCATTTAGGAACCATTGTCATTTTAGCCCAGTCCTTTAATGTTTAATTTGTTAATTCTGTACAATTTTCAGCTTTGCTGGTTTAACACTGGCAACATCTCATTACCTGAAGTGAGGCTTGTCAGACATCAAGTTAATGGTGTTCTTCAGGTGTTTTTCTGTCTTGTCTTGGACTGTATTTCATGTTACATAACAATTTCAGTTTTTCAAAGCTCTTTTTGATTACTTTGAGAACAAAAAAAAAAAAAAAGACTAGGGAATGATTTCAGAAAATTTAAATTTAGTACTCTTATGTGGTTTCAGCTCTACAACAATTCCCTGTTATTATTATTTTTTCCTTTTATCTTTTTGATTTTATAATAAAACCTGGTACATTCTATTTCTTACATTTTCATTGTTCAAAAAATGGATTTTAAAAAAAAAGATTAAAAAAGAAAGTTGAGTAATAATCTTTATACAATCCAGGTGGATAACTTTGAAAACCTGCCAGTTTTTTTCTATATATTTTTTATTTTGCGAAAAAGAATAAGATATCTCCTACGCCAGGAAGATAAATTGTTATAAAAACCGTTTTTCTGTCAGATTATGAGAGCACAGTGTGTGTTGAGTGATGGATGTCGGGGAAGAAGATATGGGGCCCTAAATGACATTTACTATAAGTGCTTTTGTGAATGAATTTTTATCAAATAAAAAATATCATTTAAGAAAAATAAGAAATGTTTTGGGTTATGCATATGGCAAGCAAACTCTAGGGTTTGGTGTTAGTTATTCTACATCTTAATCTTGCTGAAATAGGTGAATTTAAATATTCGAAGGAAAAAAAATATTTAAAAAGATGAATTGAATTTGGCAAGTTTATGCCTCTGACTCAGCACAGAAGTGGGAGCATGTCAAATTCTAACAGTTCAGTATATGCACACATTTTTGCTTTAAGAAGCTCAGGTCCAGCCTAGCTCGTGGTAATAGTAAATATTTATACCGCACAAGTCAGGTTCGTATCAGTATTAGCCACATGATGAATTCATCTGTAAATAATTTGGACAAAATTTCTCCCTTTACAAAACATCAAATACTGAGTTGGGGGGAATTTTTTTTTAATATTAAGTGAGCAAATTTGCTTTGGAAATAAAATTGAGCTTTTAAAGTATCATGGTCTGTTTGAGAGGTTGGTTTGCTCCCCTTAGTTTGCTTGTTGAAGTAATTGCATAAAAAAGTCTGAAGTTTCTGATGTTGAATTACATTTAACATGTGCATTGTTATCAAGCAAAGCCCCTGTTCCCTTAATTTGATTACAATCAGTTGAAGATTCGAGATAACCTTCAAGATAAACCAACTGATGCAACTGCTTGCTCTCTGTCCAAGCCTTTCATGTTACGTGATCTGATATGAAGATGCCAACAAATCTAACGTCATGGCGATGCTTATCCAAAATTCTCATCTTGATGCGGGGCCATTAAACTGGACACAAAAAGAGCCCAGATATGGGCAGATAAAAGTGAAATTAAATGGTCATCCATTAAATCACTTGGAGATGGTCAGTTTGTGTGGTTTTCATTAGTAATTCACCCCCATTATCTGAAATAAAACTGTCTTCCACAATTCCTTCCCCTCTGATCTATAGATGTTAATTTACAGCTTGCAAGAGCTAAACCTCCATAGGTATATTATGCACAAACATTAGCATGTTTGGTATTGTAGGTATAAATTTGTGTGGGAGGAAGGAAATAGTTTAAGAAATAAACAAAATATCTTTGGAAAAGAACACATGGTGTATATATAAGTTTGTTATTTAATGATATGCATGAAGTAAAAGTATTTAATTCTCAATTTTATTTGTCTTTTATTTTTTTTATTTTTTTATCCCTCTCCCTTTTTTTTCATTTTTCTTATAATTCTGGCTAAATAAAAGATTATAAACAAAAAAGGTCAATCACTCTTAGAACAAATTAACAATTGAATATTTAATCAGTTAATTTAGACGTAAGTATAATTACGTAACATTAACATTTTTCTTAAGTTTAATGATAGCTTTAGCATAAAAACAACTTTCTATTTCATTGTCTGTGATTGGAATTAATTTTTTAATAACATTCTAATCTGGTCTAAGAGGTTTTTTCCTTATTTGCTAAATGTATTTGTAAGTTTGTTTATCACAGATGATATCTTAAGATAGGATCACGCCTCTTAAAAAGACCCCCCATAATCAAGCACTTGTCCCTGGACTGGTCAGCCATTAGATGACTATTTTAATAGGAGTTAGATGTTAAGTATATACTTATATCTCTTTTATGGTGGAACAATGGATATGAGATAAGAAATGACACAGGCTTACAATAGAAACTGATTTGGGATATTTAATCCTTGGGACAAACATAACACTTTTATGTGTGAATTTAATTAATGTCTTAATGCACAAACACACACGATTGCCTTTCAAAACTTTCTAATGCCCTGCTCTGATTGGCTGAAGTGGGATTTTAAAGATGTTCAAAAATGGGTTGAACAACCCAGTGATTTCATGGGCCATTAGACCAATGATAGCTTGCACTTTGATCTATACTGATGTCTAAAAGTTGTCTGTGAGGATTGGGTTGTTGTTCTGTCAGTGAATGTAGCCTTGATTAACATCCTACAATCTTATTAACACATACACTCTGGATATGCAGACTGTTTGAGATATATAATTATGAATTAAAAATTTTTCAACAATTGCTCAAAGTTGGAAAGCAAGTGTTCCAGGAGAAATTTCATTCAAACAACATGGTTGCAGATCTATTTAGAGGTAAAGTATATAGTGTGAATTTTACTTTAGATATTGATCCCCTCAACAAGTTGGAAAATATCTTGTTATTGGATTTCTTATTTTAAAATATTTAGATAACATGGATAGATCAAAATTTTAAGGCATAATTCTATATTTTTTTTTATTTATTTCTTGTGAAAGAAAATATAATGTTTAGAATACCTTTTTGTAAACCTAAACTTTGGTTTTCATTGAAACAAATTTCAGCAAATTAATAAAGCCGAGTCTTATTAGTAAAGTAATTTGCATCATTAAAAAAACTGTTACTGGAAGAGAAAAACCTTCAAATGAGAGCTCGAGAATACTTTGCTTGCAGTATTCTTGTGAAATACATATGACACATTTAAATTATCTATGATGTGTTTCACGTAGGAAGTAATATGTTTGATATTTTATGTGTTAATTAAATGAAAAAAATTCAATTGCAAACTGATTGAAAAACTCAATTACAATTCCTTCAGTCATGTAAGTCCGCCTCTCACTAGGTAGAAAATATATATATAGATATATGGAGGGAAAGAAAGTTTTCATACATGTTTTATTTGAGAAGAATGGCTTGTGAATGACTTTCAATTAATTGATAGAATTTTTTTCCCACATCCATCATGCCAGGGAGGAAATGCCCTGAATGGCTACAGGTCTTAGGTAACTAACTTTTGTTAACTGGTCATTTGGAGTTTTCAATTCATTTCCATGATTTTTTGTTTGTTTTTTTTTTTTTTTTGGATTGATATTGCAGAATGCTCAATTTGCTTAAGTCAGTAGTGTATACTATTAGTTTCAGTACCATTTTGGAGGTTGCAGATGTTGAAAGTTTTGATTTAAGAGGTCTGAGTTGCAGTTTTTGTTAGACGTTCTGAACTCTATTTACAGATATTCCTTCCACTACAACTGTTCCACCATTAACACCTGGGACAACACAGAAAATGTCCCAAGCAGTCCATGAGAGTTTCAAGACTTTTGAGAGGGAGCAGCAAAAATACCATATCTCTAATGGTAAAAATTTCAGCTTTTGCAAGTAGATATTTTTTTAAATGACGTTATACATATACATATATGGATGTAGAGTAGACATTAAATTAAATTTTTTATATGACAGGTTTCATATTTTTTAAGGACTTTTGAAGACCTGACCTTAATTGCTTTGACATTTTGATGTAGTCATGTATTTTCAAGTGGGTCTGTAGACTTCACATTCTGGGTCTAATCCAATCATTATGCTAAATTGGCATGGCATATTTCTAATGGTTCAAGTTGCAAACAGACATGTTTCATTTTGAAATCATCAAACACATGTAGTGAACTACATAACAATGACTAATGCTCGGTGAATTAACTTATGTCTGAAGTTTTCAATGAACAGAAGCCTACGCTAGTTATGGTCAAGAAAAGCAACTTGCAATCGAATGCAAAGAATGGTTTGATTTTAAATTTTGGGTTTTTTTTCTTTTACTGTTTTGTTTTTATATATTTTGGGGGGGGGTGTTTAAAAATGTTTGTTTTTCTTTTTTTATAATATGAATTTCGCTTTAAGTTCATAACCATTTACCAACAGTCATAGATGAATCAGAGCATTAATCTTTTAACATCAATTTGAAGTTATTAATTATCATGTTTAATATTCATGGTATTCACTGAAGGAAAACAATTCATCCTCCTGTTCACTCCTATAAAATTTTGCTTTATTAAATGATAATGGTATTTCAAAAGAAATGTAAAATGTTATTGAAATGCAGTTTCAAATACCTTGCAGTGCAAAATTTCACAGAATTTGCTTTTTTTAACTAGACAATTTCTTAAGGAAAAACAGTCATTTATCACCTGAGAGTTATCTCTCTTATAATAGGGTCTTGCACCTTAATAGCCATTCAAATCACTTGTTTATTTTAAACAGATCCTGCCCATTGGTCAGAAAGCCATGTGATGCTCTGGTTGAAATGGATTGCACAAGAATTCAACATTCTTGGTATCAACCCTGCTAATTTTTCCATGAGAGGCAAAGACCTTTGTCAACTGAAGCGCGACCAGTTCCTGGACTTGGCGCCACCATATTTGGGAGAAATCATGTGGGAACACCTGGAAATTCTCAAGAAAGGTGAGAGATGTTTTCAGTTTGTTGTTCGCACAACTTTTTATTCAAACTTCCCTATTTTTTGCATGTGTAACAGTTGTAGTTGATGATGCTATTAACATATTACTGTTGTTTGAAAAGATTATCCCACTCACTTTGGTAGACATTAATTATTTGTGTTAATTTAACTGAACATTGATTAAGTCAATGAACTTAACAAGAAGAACAACAAAAAAAGATGCATTAAATTTTTACTGAATTCAAATATACTTGGCATAAGGATAACTTTTAGAGTATGTGTTCTCTTTAGATTTTACACATGAACACCCCAGCCTTGGTAGTGCACCTAGTAGTTATAGTGAACCTGTGTGCATGCCAGAATTTGGAGATCGCTTCCCCGTCCAAGGTAACCCATCAGAGCAATTTGGAAAATGGATCCATTTATGGACAATTTGGTCAAATTATATGTTAACTTGAATTGTCTGATTTATATAACCTTTCTCCTTGTGTGTTGTATTTAGCTAAGCATGGACTGCATCTTCCATTGAAACCATATTTGATAGAATGAAAATCTTTTCATCCAATCATGATTATTAAATTCTTTCAATCCATTTTCAGGATTTGCTGGTCATGGTGGTGATAATAAAGTATCAGCTTACACTGGTCTCAGTGATGTCAAAGTCCAAAATGCACAAACCTGTAAGAAACTATCCATCGTATAATTACAAAAATGAAATTATACTGCTAATGGTGCTAATACAATCCTTATTGCAAAACATTTACATTCTCAAAATTTTAAATACAATTTCCCATCGGACTCGCAGGTGCATACGGAGCAATAACAGAATCCATGCAAACCCTGAATGATGTGAGTGATTCCCCAAACAGTGGAAGTTTTGATGACCACTCAGACTGCCAGAGTTTGGAGACCGTCCCTCATTACTATTCCTCTGACAACAGCCCCACCACAGAATTTTATCCTCCCATCCCAGAACAAAAATTCCAGCCTCCAGTGATACCCGATATTTGTCATGGTTAGCATTTATATGAACATTAGTCTAGTTATGGTTTAGTTTTCTTATATTGAATTTACTAAGCAAACTTTGTTTGTAAAAACATGTCTTCTTAGTATATGGGTGGCTGAAATTAAAATTTTAAAAATTAGGTTCATTTAGATGGAAGAAGTATTTAAAGATTTACTATTAATATAATGAGATTTAAAGTACCCTTAAACCCAAACAATATTTTTCCGAATTGCACTAGATACTGTATACAGGGTTATTTTTGCCCTTTGACACTTCCAAACAATTTTGCCCCATTTTAAATTGGTTTAGACACTGCTGCGTTACAGAGATATTGCTGTCTTATTTAAATTAGCCCTGTTTTAAATTTGCTCACTCGCAATGAGGGTGAAAGGCTGAAAATTTCCTTGTATACAGTACCCAGATGCAAATAGAATCCCATGGACTTTCCCATTTGACAAACATGCTAATTATGCTAATTCCTGATTATTTAAAGGTCAGTACATCAGGCAGGATAACCGGTACCAGCAATATAGCCAGGTCTACCAGAATCAGATGGTTCCTAGCATCAAACAAGAGTACCTGTGGTCCGATTGTTCTGAGAGCAGCCTCAATGACAGCTGGTCATCTGAATACCGAGGGGGACTCAACATAGGCGTGTCCAGGAGCCTCCAGTCCTCACCCACAGATCTCTCCTACCCTCAGTCAGAGGTCAAGCCCAGCAATTTCCCAGCCATGGTTGGCTATTCTGGTAAGGAGTGAAGCAGGGATAAAATATAGCTACTGAATTCATGTCAATAAACACGAGTGTGACTGGGGTGGGATTGAGGGAATTTGTGAAAAACTATTATATTTTTGACTAATATTTATCATGTATGTTTCTATTTGCCAATAGCTATTATCATTTTTTCTTATATTAAAATGTTAAAGTCTGATTAGTCAAGAAATATTTAAAAAAAAAAAAAGCATATTGTCCCCTACTTATTTATCCCTTCATGGGTAATGTTGTACAGCAATAGGTAACATTTCTTCACAATGGGTCAAATTTTAAAAAAAAGTTTATGAGCATACAGTTTGTCATAGTTTTTAGCATGGCAAAAAATATTTGCATGCAGTATAAAAACATAAATCATTTTAATGTAACATGTAAGTGAAGATAACATTTGAAATTGTTACCCCCACAGGCAGCAACCCTTTTTTGGGTTATGTATTCAGAATTTTATATAATCATAGATTGTGGACAAATTAGTGTAATCATTTTAAAATTATCATTTTCCATGTTTACATGTGATATGTGAATTCGTAGTTTGGCAGTGATCTGAAGACAGGGCATATAAAATAAAGTATAAACAGAGTATTTAATATATGATAGCATACCTTACGGAAGTTATGAACTATGAATAACTCTTATTCTTATATTGTGGCATGTGGTATTTGAAATAAACGGTGAAGCATTTAATGCTAAGAATAACTCTGTGCTCCAATACATATAGTGTCAGCTGAGCTCAAAACTTAAATCAAGCAGTTAATTCATGTATTTAAAGATACATTTTTAACTTTGGTATGTATTTTGGTATTCCTCATACAAAAATATGACTCAAAACCAAGAATTTCTGGGAATTATTTTTTTATTTAAAATTTCTTTTGAATATGTTGGCAAGGAGTTGCATCACATTGTGCGAGGCCTTGACATTTGTAAATATGAATATTTATGACTATAGGATTATTAGATGCAAAGAGGTTAAGGTCAATATGCTATGTCTGCTTAAGTAAAGTAATCAGCATGCTTATCTTGTTGTCTGCCTGTCTAATTTAAACACTGGATTATAAATTTTTAATTATGAGTGTACATTAGTTTAATCCATTTTACAGGAAGTGGACCAATTCAGTTGTGGCAATTTCTTCTTGAGCTGCTGACCGACAAAAATTGCCAACATTTCATCAGCTGGACAGGAGATGGGTGGGAATTCAAACTATCCGATCCGGATGAGGTGGCCAGGAGATGGGGCATCAGGAAAAACAAACCTAAAATGAACTATGAGAAATTGAGCAGAGGACTTCGTTATTATTATGACAAAAATATCATCCACAAAACAGCAGGAAAGCGATATGTTTACAGATTCGTGTGTGATTTGCAGAGCCTTCTTGGCTATACACCAGAAGAACTTTTCGAAGCATGTGATATCAAACCTCAAGCTGACAAAGATGATGAGTGAGAGTCCAAGTCACTTGTGTGCTTGGAAATCAATTTTGAAGTGAGTCAAAATCACTTCTCATAATGCTTCATTTGGAAGCTCTTTTTAAACCTCTGGGTTCACAAAATCCTTTTCTAAAACCTTGATGGCACTTGTTGTGGTATGTAGATGAGAGCTCATTTTGTTGTTAAGCTGTAGAGTTTTCAGATCGTAATGATAAAGGACTTGTGATAAAATTTCAGATGAGTTGAAAAAGTCATCTTTGTGATGTTCAAGTTAAAGATGTGATGATAGCGGTCAGAATTGTCAACAAACGTCTTTGTCACGTTGTTGTTTTCTTAAATGTTGATCTCAGTTTTTTCAAGCTGGATGTTTTTCCTGTAAAAATGGCATGTTATTTCATTTTTTAAAAGGCCTAAATTATTTTTGTTGATGTTTTTAAAAGGCCATTTAAACTACAGCAACATTACATGTATATAGTTATAATATCTGTTTGCTTTTCTAGGAAAGAAACTTTTATATTATTGCTTTATGAGCTACAACAATAATGAAGTGAATTTTAGAAACAGGTCTGGCATATGGAAAGATAAACAAAACAAAATATTCAAGGTGAAATAAATTGCAATAGGCAGCTAGTATGGTCTAGTGAACAGTCATGTAAATACATATTCTTTCAATAAATATGATATGCATGTAATTTTTAATATTGTTGATGCATTCCACTGCTTAACATGGCTAACATTTGACTATAAATTAGGCACAATTCTCTTCTTTTTGCAAAGATTTAATACTTATGCAAAAAGATGACTGCCCAAACAAGTCCATCCAGGCCCTTCAATACTAAAAAAATCATTTTTTTTTCCATTCATGAATTTTTCTTTTCCCTTGAAAAGGATGCTATGTATAAGCAATACATTTCGTGCACTGCTTGCTCTCCTAACATAGGTGCATGTTATTTATGTGTATATATTGAGGCCTTTCTGGTAAAAATCATACACAAATTTGTTACATTTTGATATATTTTACATATAGTGCTGAGATAATAACAGTGATGTTGTTAACATCAAATATTTGTTGTGAATTATGTTATTATTATGAACTGAAGCTGTTTTTTTTTTTAATTATTATATTAATCTGGCATTAAATGTAGGAGAAAGATTTCATTTAAATTTTATCTCACATTTTTAGACAGTGAAATTTTAAAGACATTTTTGTACAGGTTCTTGATCTTTTCATTGTAATCCTAGTCAAGTATTTTTCTTCCTCTGCTTACTGTAAACCAACTATTATTCACGACTTCTTTAGTCGCGATTCTCTAGTTTGGAAGCCATCTGCGACAACTTATTTTCCCGATGAAGGCAACATTCTACATAAATACATAGGTGAATCATTGGTTCGCGACGAGAAATATTCGCAAGTAAAAGAAGCTCGCGAAACTCGTGGATATTTTTCGTTCATGAATAAAAGTTGGTTTACAGTATATTTTCAAAGATGTGACAGAAAAAAGTCCATATGTGTTCATTTTTTAAATTTCATTTCCCATGTTTAGATAATATGAACAAAGGAAATTGTTTACACTCAGAGATTTTAGTGGTGTGGAATATTTCTAGCCACTTTATTTTGTGTTCAATATCATTTTTTAATGCATTACGTTTTCATGAATGCATTGGATAAAAATTCTCAGTGCAATGTTCTTTTTAATTCAAAGATCTTTGGTAGTTTTCTCCCTTGAAATATATTAAAAGATGTGTTCAATTTTTAGATATTTTTATTTTATTGTCATTCATTTTTATCTGCAGTTCATTTTTTTTTCATAGAGGTTCAATAATTTGAATAAGAATCAAAGATCATGATGTAGTATCATTGTACATTCTAGTGCCTTAACTCATGTTTCTTTCCAAAAGCAGTTTTAAAAGTGTTGGTCAAAATAAATGTATAGAATTATCTCAACCATAGGGAAAAAATGTTAAAAAGAAGAAAATAAAGAAAAAGGAGAAAGAATCCATCAATATTTCTTTGATAGAACATATAACAATATTGTTAGTCATGGTAATAACAACAATTGATTAAAGGGTTGACATTGTATATTGTTTCACTTAAAATATAGACTGCAGTCATGAATCAAAACATCATGCATGGCTATTTTTCGTTTTACTTTGTACATATTTTATACATCTTGTTGATCAAAGTCAATTTGTGTGTACAGCTTAGCGACTGATATTCATACTTTATATTTGATTAGGTCATTTTGTTATCATCTTGTGCCTTGAAGGCAAGAAGAACTTGCATTTTTGTAACCAAAAAAAAAATCATAAATATGCTTCTTAACAAGGTTATATTGTTTAATTTATGGAATTCAATGTCTTGATTTCATTATATTGTTACAAGTTGCTTTTTTATTCAAATATATGAAATTGTATCAATATTGTAGATATTTGTAAGAAAGACAAATAAAAACAATTAAATTATATAAAAAAAATTTGTCCTCATTTGTTAACTTGAAAGTTTTTCTATTGCGAGGTCTAGATATAATATACATAATACCATGTTTACAGTTAAATTCAGTATCTCGAACACCAATATCTTGAATACCATGGATATGTCAAAGTACTTTGGAAGTCCCAACCACTTACTCTTTAAGCATTTTACTCTAAATATCTCAAATCCTTGTATGTCTCAAAGTTTTTTCTTGGTCCCATCAAGTTCGAGATGATGAGGTTTAACTTTATTAGGTCACCTGAGTCATTCAGGTGACCTATTGCTATCTGTTTTCGTCCATCGCTGTGCAATGTGCGTCGTCCGTTAACATTTGAATGTTTTCAGCTTCTTCTCTGGAACCACTGAACCAATTCCAACCAATTTGAATTTTGGCATACAACATATGGTCCCTGCTCCCCTGGGACCTGAAGGGTGGGGCTAAAACCATCAAAATTAGTGCTATCTTTAAAAAATCTTCTTCTTTACTCCTGGACATTAAGCAGTTGAACTGTTGTCATGATTGTAATGAGCATTGAGTCCTCTACCAAAATTATGAAATTCATGGCCCCAGGGTCAGGGGTTCTGGTGGTAGGTCAGGGCTATATAGACCATATAGTGAAAGTGCATTATTTCTTTGAAAATCTTCTCTGCTCCTGGGTATTAAACAGGAAAACTAAGTGCTTTAGATATTAGATATTGATAATATAGTGAAAATGTGTTAATTCTTTGAAAATCTTCAAGTAAGTGCATAGTTATGATGATGAGGGTACCTCTTCCAAATTTATGAATTTCATGACCCTGGGTCATGGGTTCTGGTGTTAGGGGTAGGGCTGTGTTGAATCTGTAATGAGAATGCATTATTTCGTTGAAAATCTTCTCTGCTCCTGAGCATATCGGAGGCAAACAGTGTAAAAGTTTTAATAAGCACGGGTATTTTTACCAGATTTTTGAAGATCTGGACCATTTGGTCAAGTGTTCTGGTCCTTGCCCCCGGGCTCTATTAATTTGTATTCTACTGAGAGAAGTTATTCCCCTTTGCCATTCACTTTTGATAATTAATCACTGTAAAATATGTATTTGCAAGGTTAATAGAATAAGTGAATTATGCAAGAATTTTTATTGTGCACTACAAAAAGTACCGGGTACTTTTATAGCTTTAATGATCAGGTAGGCTTGTAAAAAATAATACATAAAATGTATGAAGATAACGAACAGTATTCAAGCTCAAAAGTCCATTAAACAAATAAAAATGAAAAATAACTTATCTTATTAATTGTTCTTCAAAGACTAAGAGAGGCCAATGTGAAAGGTTATGCTATGGGGCTAAGTAGTACAGAGGCACTAGTGGTTTGTTAATTGTCTGCATGGTGATATTAATAAATTGGGGACAGATTAGAACTTAATTTGCAAGTTGTTGCTGAATACTAAACTAATAATTTCTTTGATCCTGATCATCCTATTTCTCTTGCTTTTGGGCAACAAAGCTCCATCTATCAGTTTATTTTATACTCTATGGATCCGCTGCATCGTTGTTTTATACTCAGGTGACCGTTAAGGCCCTCGGGCCTCTTGTTTGAATTAAGGAAACACACTGCCATGATCTAGCTCATTTGCCAAGTGATCTAGAAAGCTTGTCATCCAATGGTCAAATGGGAATTTCCCTGCCTATCCAACATAATTGTTAATAAAAAAAAAAATAATAATTCCACTTAAAATTCCAAAAAACCCATAAATTGTGAAATATCGTCTGTCTGTAGAAGAAGAGGAAGAGTCGTTGTGGGTCATTATTGGCCCTGTTATTGAATATGATCAGAATTTTTTTTCACAGGATGTCTACAATGCATATTCCCTAAAACAGTTTAAATTTCTCCGATACCGCTTTTAATTTTTTTTGTCAGGAGCCTCTTAAAAATGGCATGATTTTCAACAAAAGTCCTGCTTAAGGGTATGACATCACAATATTTGCTATAGTTAACTATCAAAATTTTAGGTATAAAATCTGTTATTTTTCTAATATGAAAATTTTTTTTTTATAATTCAAACAAAACAATTACATAATATACTTTCTATAGTTTTAATATCATGATTTTGAAAGTATTTTTTACGAAATCTATGCTGAAATGTTAATGGAATGAATATATAAAGAATTTTGAAGAGAAAACTGTCAAAAATTTATTCCCTTGAAATATGAATTTTAAAAAAAATCTTTTTTATGGGGCCGATTTCGACACGTAACGACTTTTGCTTTTTTAATTTTTAATGCTTTAGGATCAATCATAGAGAATGTTTATTAAGCTGTAATGCTCTTGACCTTTCAGATACAACTTATAATCAATTTAAGATTACAATAGCTAAGGAAGAATAATTACTTTGTGATGCATCAAGTCATTGGCATTGGCATTTATACTCACAAATATGGGTCAGACAACATAATTGATTTAAAATTACAATAACTTTGACCCCAGAAATACTAGTATGACCTCGAATCAAGATTTGCTGGAAACAACAGTTTAAAAAAGGATTAATGACCCTGACTCTTAAGATGGCCTTGAAGTACGATCAAAGTATACAAGTACAACTAAGACGTAAAAAAAAGGCTCGAATATATTAAAGGCGGGTAAAACAAAATATTGATGGCCTTTAAAAAAACAACAACAACAAGGTCATTTTGCAATGTTAAGAGTTGACTCGCTATGAAATTTTGAAGTGGGCTATTTCAAATGGGAGAAATGCAAATCTGGACAAATCCTACTCCCGGGGGGGGGGGGGGGTCTCATTAACCTCGCAGTTCATGTATTTTTAGTCAGAGTCCCTTTCAGACATGGCATATGTTCAAAATTACCACTAGTCCAAGAGATGTTAACAGAAATAATACTTGTATATGTATTTTGTTGTCATAGTTGCATATCATACGACATTCATACGTACAATTATAGGATGAAATATATGGAGATAACGAACAGAATTCAAGCTCAAAAGTCCATTAAACAATACAGAATAGGAGCAGAGCAAACATCAGACGTGGGATCAGGTGCCATGGAGGAGTGAGGATCCCCTGCCGACCGGTCACACCCGCTGTGTGCTCCTTGTCATGATCGGGAAAAACGGAAAAATCCGTCGACAATTCAGTGTGTAAATAATCGCCAAACAATTAGTATGAAAAACGTCAGTCAGTATTTGACTCAATGATAAATTGTATTTGCTGACAAGGTCATTGTATCGACCATAGAACTTACGAAATGATGACTTTAAACGAGACAGCTGATATTCTTGTTTCATCAACTTGTCAATAATTTACTTCGTTTTAGAAATTGTACATACGTAGAGCATGCTCTTGCGTATCGAATCAACTGAGAGATATATACCCCGTATATACAGGTGATGATGGTATATTGCTGCATAAGTAAGGGAAGTTGACGATTGAAAAGTTTAAGTCATCACGTTTATCATAAAGCTTGGTTGTTACATTACCATTAACGTCTTTCTCAAGTAAAATATCCAAATATGAAACAGATGTGTCAGACTCTGTGGTATAAAAGAGCCTACTAAGTTCAAGCGGTTTTCTCTCTCTCTCTCATTTGCTGTAATGTTTTATTCAAAACTGTGAACTCCAGGTCCATTGTACTTAACTAATATACATGTATTTAGGTTGTCCTCAATTGATCTGGCGGTGACACTCAAATCTAAATTATTACTATTGATACATTGTCCCAAAAAGAAGGAACAAGATACGTTTATGAAACACTGATGCTCCCCGTATGGCAGTTAAAGGCGAAGGTTAAAGTCTTTCAAAACTCGGTCAAACTCCAAAGTCAAGATGGGGAGGTCAAAAATGCTATTATTCAAAGGAAGGTCATGTGACAATGAATACACATATGAAATATAAAAGCCTTAGTGCAAACCATTCAGACGTTCTGGCCAAGTTTATGGTTTTTCAAAAGTAGAACAAACTTCAAGGTCTTGAGGTCAAAAATGCTGGTATCCATCGAAAGATCTTGTCACAAGAAATACACTTGTGAAGTATGAAAGCCTTTACATCAACCGTTCAAAAGTTATGGCCAAGGTTTAAGTTACAGTTTTCAAAGTGGGTCAAACTTCCAGGTCAAGGTCATGAGGAGAAAAATGTTGTAAAAAGGCCTTGTCACAAGAAATACACATGTAAAATATGACAGCCATAGCTTCAAAAAAGTTATAGCCAAGGTTTAAGTTACAGTTTTTCAAAGTGGGTCAAACTTCCAGGTCAAGGTCATGGGGAGAAAAATGTTGTAAAAAGGCCTTGTCACAAGAAATACACATGTAAAATATGACAGCCATAGCTTCAACCGTTCAAAGATTATGGCTTTAGTATTAAAGTTTTTGCAGGCAAACAGACAGACAAAGACCAACAAGTATCTGCCCCCGAAATTGTCGATGACGGGGACAAGTTGTTTATTTCATAAAATCTGTGAAAAACTATGAGAAGAGTATGGTTTGCTTATTTGATTCAGATGGACAATCATCACTTAAACAATAGCAAGCATATAAAGATTTTCGACCCAGAAAGACTTTAAGACTTTGTTGTGCAAAATATGAAGATACTAGTATGTAGTTTAAAATGTATTTAAAAATGTGCTGGTTTTTACTCTAGTTTTTTTTTTTTTTTTTTTCTTGTTCGTCTTTAGACACCATGTGTTGTGTAAAATTTTGACAAGCAATATCAAACCTGTCAAGAACAAAAAACTGGACATTATAAGGACAGTGGAAATCTGTGATATATTCAGAAAAGCACAAGTATTTATTGTTCAAACGGAAAATATATATTTAGAAAAAGCCCAATGAGATGTGGTGAATACTCAATAGATATTGAAAATAAAATGGGATTATTATTGAAAAAAAAAAATCTTCCCGTAAAACCATTAATTCAGAATTTCTCAAGAATGGACAGACGTAAGTGTGAACGACACTAAACAAGGCACAACCAAAGTAAATTAATAT